ACTGTAAACGGTTTCTGTTCCGGTGCATATGTTTAGTAGAGAAAGTTTCCATGTCTGGTAAGTTTTTAGAGAAATCCCAAACTATACCGATTATAGTTTGCATGTATAACGTAGCGAATAGCGTATCAGTAAAAACTATGCAATTTTTGTGAAAACGTCCCTTATGCTCAACATGATACAAAAGGGAATTAAAGTATGAAATTTGCATAAGTTTTATGTGTATTTCTGAAAACACTTTTGTTTAGCTTGAAAGAAAACATTTATGTTTAGCTTGTATTCCCCCCCCCCCTCTGAAAACATTAAAAATGCGGAAAAATGTAGGGGTATGAACTCACAGTTGTTGCGTGAAGTTGTTGACTGAAAAGAAGGTTCCCGAGTTGTTGCACGCGACACTTAACGAAATCCTATTAACAAATAAATATGTATATACATCTAAATTCGCGATTTCGTTAGATAAAGTGTCGGAAAACACTTGAATTTGGTTGAGGAATGTTATCGAGACTTGCTTGAATCGAAGGAATGGGTTTACTGCCTTAGAGCACGAGTTTACGGTTTCTGAGGATGGGTTTACGGTTTCTATAGTTGAGTTTACGGTTTCAGCAGATGGCTGAGTTTACGGTCTTTGAAGCTCGAACCGTAAACTCGGAAAACGAGGTTTTGAATGCTGATTTCGATGCGAGGAGTGATTCCAGTCGTTCCAAAGTGCTCCAAACGGTTTCGAAGTTTCCCGGAGTTTAAATGCGTTTTAAGGAGTTTACGGTTGATGAATTTTAGAGAGAGAATGAGAGAATGTGCCCAGAAATGTTCCAATGAGGGTGGGGGTATCGTATTTATAGGGTGAAAATGGGGTCCACTCGTCACTGACCGTAAACAGGGTTTACGGTCGTAAACCAGTTTACGGTCGTAAACGAGTTTACGGTTGTAAATCCCATTTTTGACCAAAAATGTTGATTTTCGAGATTTTCAGGTTTCCGCGCGATTTTTGGTTCCGACTCGTAAATAATTTAATTAAGTATAACTAGATTATTTTATTTAAACCAAATTTTGAACGGAAAGGTTTACGGATCTGAAATTTCATTAACGGAAATGCATAACGGAAAAAGTTTCGGGTTGTCACAAAAGCCTAGACCAAACCACTAATTAGACCCTTCAATCTCCCCCTTGGTTTGGTGCTAGCTTGAAGTCAATCTTTGTCCACGATCAGCACATCGTCCAGCCCCATCGCTCCATTTCACATCCGCTTATTTATAATCTCAGCAACCATAGTGGTGTACTCTTTCGCGGCAGACTCAAATATCTCCTCAGCAACCTGGATCTGAAAATGACTCAAATGATGAATGTCCCATTTTCTAAACTGGAGCAAATCCCTTCTATCATACAAACGAATGCAATCCTCCTTAAGTTTGATGACAGCAGATGTTGTGGTTTCATCAAATACCCAGTAGAGCATAGAGCTTAAGGATCCATCCGAGTAATCTTGAAGCACGGGAATCTGTTTGACCTGATTTGTAGCAGGCCACATCACCACCTGGAGGGGATTACCAGTTTTGGGATCAATAACATCAGGATATTGCTTTATCACAGATTCAGCAGTCTTCATAGATGGAAAACCCTTCTTTACTTGATCTTCCAGAAAGTGTTTGAAGTTAGTTGCTTGCTGATTATCTGTCGGGTTTGAGAATGGAGATTGAGACAGCTCTGAAAGATCCACCCTAGTCCAAGAGTTAAAATCATGACAATCCTTGTAAAGCTCCGTCTTGCCGCTCTTTCTGCGAACAATCCACATTTTCTGGGGATCATGAAAACCCCATGATACGATTACGGACCTATCACCATACGTGTCTCTAAACCTTACGGTTTCGAGATCAGTAACAGTGATTGTGGATTGATTTCCTGGTGCATTCTTGTCGGAATTCCTTTTGAACAGGAGTTGTCCCTTCTCAGCGGCTTTTTCTTGTTTATCTCGAATAATCTGTGCAACATGTGGGGCATGAGCAGGTTCTTCTTCAAAACGATTCACCACTCGAGAAGTCTGAGCAGTTGGCATGGCAACATGATGAGCCTGAGAGTGAAGATCAATTCTATGCTCATCTGCGGATGTCTTATATTTATCACCAAATTGTTCTTCAAGCTTCTTCTTGAGATCAAAGTAATTGGAGGTCAAAAGATTGAAATGATCTTGGAGCTCAGAGATTTGCCTGGACTTGATTGATTTATCTTCTTGGAGATCAGAAACTTGATTCTTCAAATTTGTATTCTCACTCAAGAGATCTTCAACATGAATGCTTAGCTCAATAATTTTCTGATCCTGCACATTCACTCTTTTCTGAAGCTCGTCTATCACTAAGTCATCTTCTCTTGACTGACCTTCTCGAAAAGCAATTCCTTTGCCCTTAGAGGAAGGTGCGTCAGCTTGTTCCTGAGCAAGATGCAAGGCCAAACGCACAGAGGCTGCATCGTGAGCAGGTCTTGGAGGAGAGAATCCTGGTGGAATAGAGGAGCCACCGGCTTCAAAAAATGTGCTAGGGCCTTCACGTAAAGGTTCTGTAGTTACAATAGCAGGACTGATAGTTGGAGCAAATGGCAAGCCTTGAGACAAGCTAGAATCCAGAGGCCCAAACCTAGGATCTCGTCGTCTTCTTTTGGACGGAGGCTGCGATGTCTGGTCTATTGAGAAATCACCCTGAAGTGGTTCAGATGTAGGTGAGACAACATCACGGGGAGGAATCCCTGATACTGTCACCATTAGAGTGAAAGAGACAACCACTTGTTCTGTAGTAATGGGGGTTGATTCGAGAGCGTCTTCTGTATCCCTACTTTCCGTTGATGTGTGAGCAGCATCACTGAGATTATCTAGCAGCGAGTTGAGGTTGACGTTTGACAGAAAATCATCATTAGATCCAAAATTAGTAGGAATGTCATCTGCATCGAAGCCTGTGAGATCAAGGTCTTCATATTGAGTAGGCTCAACAGTATTCTTGGAAGACCCTTCATTGTAATCTCCTTCAACTTGAACTGTTTGTAGTTCATGCTCCTCTGCTACTGACACAGCAGGAGCAACAGTCGCTTCTCCTTCTTGATCTGACACGGTGATCACATCTCCTTCTGAAATCACCTTTTCCGACGAAGTGTGCTCCGAAGATATCTTATCTGAGGATTCGTGTGACTCTGTTTCTTCATTTGGTTCAGCAAATCGTCCGAACTTAACCACATGATACAACCCTTGAAAGATCACCTTCCCCTTACGATTTTGTTTAATGAGCCCAATGGTGTGAGGGCCCAATGATTTCATATCGAGTGTTTCTCCATCCTTTACCAAGTGGGGAAATTGCTTATTGATGAAGAGTTGAACGAACCGAGGGTACATTAGGAAGGTATCCCGAGTAGTGGCATTAATGTTGACCACAAATTCGTCCAGAATAAATCTAGAGAAGTTGAAACCGATCCCCGCAGCGAGAGAAACAATAACGCCAATGTTTCTCAGGGATATCTCATCAGCACCAGACCTTCTGCCGGAGATGCAGCTCACGAGCACGTGGGCTAGAAGTTTCCAATAGGGCGGCATAAGTTTCTTCATTGTTGGTGGAGAAACACCCTCGTATCCCATCTTCCTCGGAATCCTTTGAGCATCATCAATACCAATTTCCGTGGGAAAGGTCGGAAGGTCGTTGATCAGCAAAGTCTCTCTCACAAAGGTCTCATCAATGACAATTTTTCATCCCTGAACGATTGCATCCACAGTGACAGCTCCATTATCATCCCTTGTCATTTTGGCAGTCTGCCAGAACTCACGAATCATTTTCTGATAGACAGCAGTGTTCGTTGTAATGGCAGAGGCCAAGCAGCATTCTCGTAATCCGTGAATCATTGATTTAAATTCCTAATGAGCCGCCGCAGGGTTAGCAAGAACCATCGCCAGGTTGTGCATATCTGCAAATTTTAAAGCTGCCATTTTATCTGCACTAAAACATACCAAGTAAGACAAGAGAGAAAAATGAGCAATTAAAATTTTAAATGATTTAATTTTTGACCCCAAAATGAATTTAAAATTTGGTGAAAGTCAGAGTTTGCGGTCAACGGGGGTTTACGGTCAACGAGGGTTTACGGCCGTAAACCCTTGACCGTATGCTAATGGCCGCAAAGGGAGTTTTCGGTCGCAAACTCTTTACGACCGTAAGCTTCGACCGTAAACTCCGTCGATCAGTTTTTCGTCGATTTCAGGCTCAAAAATCATCAAATCACTGAACGAAATGCATATTCATGGTCAGAAATGAGATACCTTCAAAGCTATCGGAGTAATTTCGCAAAAATCGAAGAAATTGTTTTCGAGGAGAGAGAGTGTGGGAGGGTTTGCGGCCGGAATCAGAAAAATGAAGAGGATTCCGGCTGTAAACCCCTTTTATACCTAGCTTTCCTTTACCTGATGTTCACACAGTATAAGGCAGGATCCAACACAGTCCAATATTTTCAAAAATTTTAAAAATAAATCTTTTTGAGGATTATTATTAAAACTAAAATTAAAATTAAAATTAAAATAAAATAAAATTAATTCTGCAAAATTTAAAAATTAAAGTAATTGTTAGATTTTTACAGTCAACAAAATAAAATAAAAAATTAAAAATAAAAATAAAAATAAGGGCGGAGGCGTACGACTTCCTTGAGGGTAAGGTGGAGCCGGTGAGCTCTTTGCAACATTCCTTCCAACGGGATATCATGGACAGGAGTCTGAATTTCTTTATTCAGGATATAAACCAAAGCGGTAGAAATTCACAAATATACCGTGAATTCTACTCCCACTTTACCGATGAGGGATTCCGCCTCAAGTTCGGATTACCCCTACCTTAAAGGTCACGCTTTCTTTTTGGATCAGACCGCTCTTGGTCTTCGAACTAGTCATTAATGGTCGGCTTCATTGGTACCCTTTCGGTATGCGTTGCGAACACTTTCATTTTTAGCGTCTCATCTTCTCTATAGAAGCAAAACTCGAACGGATAGAACAGATGGTCCAACTACAAAACCTTTTCTTTTTCATTACTTCCATGGTCGTGCCTCGTGGCACGGCAGCACCCGTACTATTGAAATGGTTCGTCAGTAGAGATGTTCCCACAGGTGCCCCTTCTTCTAATGGTACTATAATTCCTATTCCTATCCCTTCATTCCCTCTTTTGGTCTATCTACATTCCAGGAAATTCATACGCTCCACGGACGGAGCAAAAAGCGGAGTCTTCGTCAGAGCAAGCCGACCTATTCTATTACCAGACATAATTAGGGGAAGCTCATCCGAAACTAGAGCTAGAAAGGCCTTATTTCGTTTCGTTCCTATTCTTCATTTCCTTCTTATCGAAAAAAGGGGGATTTCTCATATTTAGAATCTTTCTGCGGTGTGCTCCGTTTACTATTCTTTCGTACTTTCTTCTCTTTACCACGCGATAGGTCAGCGAAGCGTGAGCGGGCGCGGAGAAGGAAAGGCCAAAGACTTCAGCCTAACGGGAATGAGCAAGGACGAAATGACAAGATGAGGCGCCCTGGGCACCCCCATTTAGAAAGAAGGGCCGAAGTTTTTGGGCCTGTAGCTTTACCCGTCCCCCCTGAGTCGGGCGGTGCTTGTGTGGGGGGTGTGCCACCAGAAATCGGGCTTGAAGCTCTCACCTTACCAACGAGCCGACAGCTGATGGCTGTTGGTCACGACTACTACAAAAAAAGCCCCAATGAAGATGAATATTTCACATGGAGGAGTGTGCATCTTTATGTTGGGTGTTCTTCTGTCGTGCGACCCGGCGGCTTATGTGCGACCTGTGGCCCACGCCTCCTATTTGTTCAGGGCGGGCGGCGTGAACTCTGATTCGATCCGGGTATTCAATCCCGCCGCTGAGATGCTCAGTTGACTCCTTAACCTTAATAGGAAGATGGCTTATTTAATAATTCGTGCATAAGGGTAAGGAACTTTGGATGAACTAATGCGAATGGGTGTAAGCCTCGCTGCTCGAAAACACCCGGTGCTGACCACACTGAGAGACACGAAAGCGCAGGTAACGCCAGTTGGCGAAGTGGCGTTAAGCATCCCTAACGATATGAAAAAGAGAGGTCGTGATGATATCATCTACGTCCGTACCGCTCCTCGTGGAGTAGATCCCGCATCCAAGCAAGTCTTTGACCAGGGAACGGGATAATTCCCACTACCGCTGGCAGGCCAGCCGGGCCGTGAGCACGGTGGGGACGGGCTTCCCAAAAAGCCAGCCCGGGCCGGGGTCAGTACAGAATGAAGGGGACGGCCCTAATGTTGTGTTGGCAAAGCCAACTTCTTGGGTTTCGGGCAGTGAAAAGCGGACGTGGGGACTCGGGTCGGGGCGCAGCGTAACTAAGGGATTCCATTTAGGGCGAGACAAAATGGGCGGGCACGGGCGATCTGGTGTCCGAGCCGATTGGTCAGACGACGACTACTTCACTTATTAGATTAGTATTAGCCGCCTGTCCCGGAATGGAATGGGATGGAATAGAAAAAACGGGAAGCGCTATCGGTTCGGTTTTTTTGGGAGGGAGAAGCTTGTGAAGAAGGAAGCTTATCCCCGCCCCGACTGTCAGCTGCTGGCTCTCTCCATCTCTCCTAAACTTCCCCCGGGTTTCGGCCCGAGCTGTATGAGACAGAAACTCGTCCCACGTACGGTTCGGAGGCCGAGCCCCACCCCAGCAGTAAGGGTGCGGCTTAGGTTAACTAACACAAAGAAGATACAGTTCACTCAACGATTGCCTTTGGGTTCCGAACTCCATTTGGGGAAGGAGCGTTGTTGTTTGCAAGGTCTCGATTATTTACATGGACCCACTTCTCATTCAATTTGTAGGAATTTTCTGATCTATAAACCGTCCCTAACTAAGGATCGACTCATGTTTGAGGATGATGAATCACTTCGTGTCGATCTGTTGCCAATAAAATTTCCGGCCTCATATGAGAATGGAAAACTGGAGCATTTTCTGCATCGGTGGATGAAGAATCGCGAACATAAGAATTTCTGGTTGACCATGTTCCCAGAAAAAAGATACTTTCAAGAAACGACGAACACGACTGAAGTGGCTATACATACAAATCCATTTACGGATCTATATGCTCCGATTGGAACTTCCAGTTCCAGAACAGGTGGCTGGTATACTACCATAATGAAACTGCCTTTTATTTTTTTTATTCGGATCGGATTTATGTTGGCTTCGTTGGGAGGATCGCGTAGTTTGTTACGTCAGCTCAAAAAGGATAAGTTGCCTTGGAATCGAGAAAGTTACGTGGAGTTCATAATTGCATAAAAGGAGTCAAAGTAAAGTAGTGGCTGCGGCGCGTTGAGGCACTTCTTCGACGGTTCCCGTACGCCCGGCCTGCCGGCCCACTCTGAAGAATTCATGGGTCGGCAGGCGGGCGAGACAGAATGGGCGGGCACTACTAACCAAGCCAAGCCCAGTTCCCGCCGATAGGCGCAGGTAGCTTGCTTCCAAGCCTTGCCTTATATGATAGTTGTGGCCATGGCCCGAAGGAGCCTTAAGCAGTTGTACAATGCTTCAAGTCAAGGCTCCCCCCCACTCGTTGCCCAGAGCCTTTACTTTCCATGTTTTTAGTCAAATGCGCGCTAGCGCGCTACAACTATCAATTTTTTCTCTGAGAGGCTCGCTTCTTCCCGCCCCTTATTGAAAAAAAAAGCGCGTTAGCGCTTTTACTTTTATTTATTATATAATACCTTCTTTCTACTTCTTTCTCAAAGTAAAGCAAGCAACCTTTCGCCTTTATTTTTTTGAGGAGATATAAAAAGAAGCAACCTTACTAAGCAATCGTAGGTTTGGGCTCGAAAGCAAGAAGCAACGGCTTTCGCGCTTGTTGGAGCTATTAAGCATCTTAGACTATTCCATTCCATTTTGCAGCTGGACAGAAAAGTGGAAACTTTCCGCGGGATCCTCTTTCTGCAGGATGCTCTTTTGCACTACGATGGATTTTTTTACTCTTTAAGTGCGCCACTCCTTCTTTTGTCCTGTATCTGTAGCTGCTTTTCCCGCACTCACTTTTATCCCGTGGTCAAATCTGCATGAAAAACCACGGGGAATCCTTAGTATTAAGTATTATGCTCCCGCACCCCCTATCTCTTAAAGGCTCTGCGCTCCCGCATTCTGATTGATCCTGTGCAATGTTGTAATCCTGTTGTTCCTTTATCCCCCGCTCCGCAGCTGCTGGAGACTTAGTCAGATTTTTAGCCTTTTGCGGTACTGATTGATGTTATGGGCGATTACTTGGGTTGGCCGGACTGTTTGTTTGCAAAGGCCGAAGGACTAAAAAATGAGGTTTTTGATGTTATTGGACAGAATTGGTGCCGTTTTCCCACGCCTCCTTTTCCATAATATGATTATGAGCTGCAGAACGCTTGAAGCTGGAATTTGAGCATTTAATTTTGAACACAGGCCAAACTACGCTCCTAGGCTCCCTTCTTCGAGGTTGATTCCCCCAGATCAAATGACAAGGAGCCAAAAGCGAAGATGGCAGCGGAGGAATCTGATGGCTAGGCGAATGGGGGGTTGAATACTCCGAGTCAACATGGTTGGTTGGAAAGCCTCAGAAGAGCCGTGATAAAGAACAGCCTCGGAATAAGGAGCCCGAAGGGAAATAAAAGCGGGATATGGATCAAATCCTCCTCCCCCAAAATGTACCAAACTCAACATAGATGGATCAGCTACTATGGGAGAGAGTGCAGGTGGTGGTATCCTGAGAAAGAGTTCAGGTCAATTTTTTTATTTTTTCCTTCTCTTCATTCTATCACAATGGTACTAACATGATGGCTGAGACTAGAGCTCTCAGAGATGGGTTCAAACTATGTTCTGATAAGGGCATCCAAGTGAATGACATCGAATATGATTCCAAAGTTATGGTGGACTCCATCCTTGGTCTTATATCCACCCCTTGACATGTGCTTTACTTGATCAGAGAATGCATCAACTTATTGTCTTCTGGCATGATGGTTTCTCACATCTATAGACAAGGCAACTCAATTATAGACATACTGGCTTCTCATGCTTACTCTCACAGGTCTGATTGCATCGTTGAAGCTGCTTCTTATCTCTTGCAAACAAGCCTACTACAATGACAAGGAAGGCCTTTACTCTTATTCCTGTTCCCGGAATGCTTTCCTTCATCAAAGTCACGTAAGAAATAGAAAATGTACAACTAAAGGCTTGTCAATTCTTGGTGTAATACTCACTCGAAAATGATGGGTGTCAGAATTTCTCACTTTTCAGGCAGTCTTATCCGTGTAAGAATTAGGAATTCCTCTTCCAACTCGTCCCAGAATGGGCGTTATGGCAAAGAACAAGAAGAAAACAAAAGGGGAAATTTGTCCAATAGTCACAAATGGTGCCTCCACAGGTTGACATCCGATCCAACCTAGTAGTAAGCGATCCGCCAAAAGCAACCAAAATATTCCTTGGTGAATCGGGCGAAAACTTGAACTATGTACATACATACTTTTAAAAAAAGGTAAAGCCAATAGACATATAAAAAACTGGTGCTATTGCGGCTACACCTCCCGCTTTGTCAGGTATACTACGAAGAATGGCATGGATCGGTAGGAAATACCATTCCGGTACAATATGAGGCGGGGTGGGCATCGGATTAGCAGGTATATAATTGTCGGGATGCCCCAAAACATTAGGAGCATAAAAAATAAAAATGGAAGAAAAGATAGCAAAAGCTACCCAACCTACTAGATCCTTTACATAAAAATAAGGGTAAGAAGCAATTTTATCCATCTCTGAATGTACACCCAATGGATTATTTGATCCATATTGATGCAATGCGGCCAGATGAAGAAGACTGGCGCCTACTAAAAGAAGGGGGAGTAAATGATGAACACTAAAAAAACGATTTAAGGTGGCATTATCCACGGAGAAACCACCCCAAAGCCAAGTCACTATGGTATCTCCTACTACGGGTATGGCGCTAGCTAAGCTTGTAATTACTGTAGCCCCCCAAAAGCTCATCTGACCCCAAGGTGGTACGTATCTTATAAAAGCTGTCACAATCATTAATAGGAAGATTACAACTCCGAGACACCGAACAAATTCCCTAGGACTGCTATAACTCGCATGATATAGACCACGAAAAATATGAAGGTGAACCACAATGAGAAACATACTTGCCCCATTAGCATGCATATAACGGAGCAACCAGCCCCCTTCAGCATCTCTCAAAAGCTAGATCCACATGAGGTGTGTAATGCATAGCTAAAAAAACGCTAGTCACTATCTGAATGACTAAACAAATACCAGCTAACGGACCGAACCCCCACCAATAACTAAGATTGCTCGGGGTTGGATAATCTATCAAATGATGATTAAGTGTGGAGAATATAGGTTGTTTAAGAATCGATAATCGTTGGTTCCTTATAGTCATTTCTTTTTCTTTTTTAGAAAGAGAACTCTGGTTCCCTCACCTTTTAGCGTTCTGGGGCCTTTTATATAATATAAAAAAAAGATATCAAAATCTTTAAAGTACCCTTAGAGTAGGGTGAAAGAAAGTCAATATGAGCGTTGGTTTTTCCAACAAAACAGTGAAAGATGTTGTTTTATCCTTATCCATGGATGGAGGGAGTGGATGGGGTCGCATCCGGGTATACGCCGAATTGCCTACATATCTTCTTCAAAAGAATCAGACCATTGTAGTTCAGTTAAAAAGACGTTTTCAAAAGCAATCAAATAGAAGATCGAAGAGAATGAGTCACAAGATGAAATGAAAATGAGTTCTCCTTCCAAACAGACTAGAAGACATAGTTGATTAGATCAAGAAACTTCAAAATTGATTGGCATAACCAACTATTTTGT